AATGGACTTTGGTCCCCTTTGAAAAATCAAAAGAAGAGGAAAACTCATAAAGACGAAAGAAGAAAAATGGCCGCAACTTGTCTGACTCTCTAGTCCCTCTTAATATTATACGTACAACTTCAACTGGTCTTTAGAAATTGGACCATTTTTTTTTTTTGTTAAAAGAGAAAGAGGGGCTCAAGGAGAATAACTCTCGACCCCATCAAATATTTGTCCATGTCTAACAACAGCCATAAAAAAAAATTGGTGTATTTGATGTATTTGGAATTCTGGTAGAATTATTTTGATTTGATATTTTGAATTGAATGCCAAATAAATTTTGCCTATGGTTTGATCATGGCCTGTTGTTATAGCCTGCAGGAAACAAGATTGTTCATCAACATTTAATGATCTTTGTCCTCTATATATTTCGCTTAGCTCTTTGCCCATCATTTTACTAGCTATCTAGCTGATCGATCCATCTGAATAAAAGGTATGTTTGCTGAGACGGAAAAAAAAAAATTCTTTTTTCCCAAAATTATTATTCGTTTTCAATTTTAATTTTTAGTATATATTGAATTTAAAATTTAAAATTTAAATTTAACAATAATTTTGAGACAGATAAAGTAATTATTTTCACACTGTGATTGAAGATGACTTTTTTTTTTTTTCTTTTGCTTGGGTGTTAGTTTGGATTTCTATGTCTTCCCAGATGGTTTTATGAATTTTCTTCGCTTTCATTGGAAGAGGTGTTGATTGTCATGAGAAATTGTTGGAACGATTCGGACGGAAAGTCATTATATTTCTTACATGAACCTAAGTATTCCTTCCGTCCCAAAATTATGGTCTAGTTTAAGATTTCAGTTTTAGTATAATTTGAACTAGAAATGAAAACTCAAACTGGACAATAATTATGAGCCGGAGGGAGTATGTTAAAATTTGCAGGGTGTTTGAATTTCGAGAACTTAATAAAAGAATGATTATAATCTTTTTTTAATCATTATTTGGATGCGGTCAACATGGTTTCTCTACCTGTTGGGACTTTGGGACAACATATATTTTGGATAAAATAGGATAATTTAATTCAACATTCTTCGGTGTGGAAAATATATATACATACATGTTATAATGACAAATACTGAAAGCCTGCAATTTTCACAAGAAAAGACCCCAGTAAATTAAAACAAAGGGACCCCCTATATGTTAATGTACCATGTTTCGATCTCAACTTAGGACGTCATTGATTATATGATTATAAATTAGAATTCTGATGGTAGAAATTTGAGTTTCTTAATTTTATCTCTATAATTTGATTTCTTACGTTTTGTTGAACTGTATGAGTAAATCAAAATTAATAAGACTGTTGGCTAAAACGGTACTTCTGGGTTTGTTAAACCTTACATTTCAAAGTGTTTCATTTACCGTCTCAGAGAAACTCTAGCTATACATAGTGATTAATTCTTTTCTTTTCTACTTTATTTTTCAAAGAATATTCAAAAAGAAATCTAAAACATATACTCCCTTTGTCCCAAAATTATTGTCCAGTTTGAGATTTTACTTTTAACACAATTTGAACTAAAAATGAAAACCCAAACTGGACAATAATTTTGGGACAAAGGGAGTAACATATTTGAATTCAATTTTACTCTCTCCTCTCCTTTTTACCCTAAAAAAAATTAAAAAAGAATAAAAAATTACTCCCTCATCTTGAATCGCTAACTTTGGTTTATATGTTACGTTGTATAATGGTTTTTCCATTTAAGTGCGTGCTAGACACAAAAAAGGACTAATAAATGTAGACCTTTACTAGATGAGATAATATGTAATTTTTGTTCAACTCGTGTTAAAAAAAAAAATTAAAGTATTCTACGAATTAATTATTTTCTTCGGACTAGAGTTATTATTTATAAAAAAAAACAAAACAAAATTAACTTAACTTAAAAATGTACTCTATCTTATTATTAGTTGTCTTAAACCGAACTCAATACTCGTAATTCATCAAGATTCATTGAAAAGTTGTAATAAGTGCGCGCGCGCGCGCGTGTTTATTTCTAATGTTTTTGTGTAAGAGAAATCTCTGAAAGAACATAGGACTCAAAAGAGAATAGGAGAAGTGATGAAAAGATAGGGGAAAAGGTAACTTTAAGCATGAATTAGCCAAAGTAAGTAGAGTACTAATTAATTAGAGAACTTGTTTCTCCACAACATATGGGCGTGCTTACCAAATCTCTACGGTTCCTAATTAAGCTCTGATGATCATTAACACTCACTTAAACCCCAACTGATTAAAGTAAAACCGAAGCTTAATTGACGCTACTATGTATCACATTTTAATGACCACCCATTATCATGATATTGAGGAGTACATATAAAGTAGTGGTTAAAAAATGGAGACAAGATGAAATTAAGATAACTGAATTAAGAAGACAATGCGTACTTTAACATCATACTATATACAATTATCAAAATCCGCAAAATTCACCATTAAGGTGAAATCATGAAAACCCTAATCGGCCGAATTTATTACACTTGTATTTATTGTTACTGCTTGTACAAAGTCAAAGAGAAAGAAAAAGCATGGCAAATCAATCAAACCCACACACCCACACATCAAGAAAAGGTAGCCGACTTATCTGAAGAAAAATTGCATTTGACTTTGAAACAATGAAGAAAATTTTGGGTTTTAAATTATTGTAGGAAGAGAGTCAGCGGTATGAACTTCTTCTCTTCTTCTTTTTTTTTTTTTTTTTCCCATGAAATTCAATGAATGGTTAATGCCGACGCTAACATTTTCAGTGGTCCTCAGCTACCCTCCGTTGATCAGGTTGAGAAAAATAAAAGAAGAAAAAGATTATAAAGGAACGCACCACTAGAGGAGGAGAAACCTAGCAATCATTATACAACCTACCCTATGAATCCCTAAATTAATTCCTTCGTTTTTTTGCAATTTTTACCTTTCAACAAGAACTGGTGTCCTATGATTGAGGTACACATTGTACTCTATTCGTCCCATAAAAATATTTCACGTTAAAAATTTTGTAATTATAACGTGAATTACTTCTGTGAGAAACACTGCATATTAATTTTCATTCCGTTCAGGTAAATCTATTTGGTGTTGTAAAAAAACTAACTAGTTAAGAATTTACTAGCTCATCGTTCAATTTACCCCCTACAATCCGAAATTACTTATTTCCATACTTCTTTTTTTTGCTTTTTATGAGTTGACTTGCCGGTTTAATTCGTCAGGTAACAGACAACTCATGTGGAGATCACTTACTGCGACAATCAACTAATTCAGAGCGTACGAAGTATAGTAGAATGATTTCATTTCAAGATTTTTATTTTTATTTTTTTTAAGGATATCAATTATGATGATTAAAATTATTCTAAGAAGTCTGGTTTATCTCCACTAAGTTGGGCAGCAAATCTATAGTACTTTCTCATTGTTTTGGCACCAAAATGAAGAAGATTAGCCATCGCGAAAAATCTTGACGACTATTAAGTCTCTGATAATGTTACTACTTAGAACTTTCCCTCAAAACTACAATGATATTGAAATCATGAAACTTCAGTAAGGCTTAATGATACTAACAAAATTACAATGAAAATTCTCTAATACTACAATAGTTCCTTTTAATTCCCTTCCTTTTTTTGACTTAGAACATTTTTATTCCTTTACAACATTTAAATCCCACATCAACTAAGAATCAATCCCAGAATCTACGACACTCTTAGTTATAAAGAGACTTGACCGTGACCTAAATCCTTTTAGTAATACACTATAATACGTATCTATATACATTGTTCCATCTCGACTAGTACTTCCCTGTATATATACAAGTAATCGAAACGGTTGAAACACTGTGTGATGGCTATATGTGGGAGCAAAAATGCGGAAGGCAATTTCAAAAAAGAATAACTCTATTGACATTTCAATTATGAAAAAGTAATGTAAGCTACAAGATTTCAAACAGAACAGTTAATGTAGACAACAAATTTAAGACTGTGTATGCATACCTTCATGTGTTTTAAATGATTACTCAACAGATGTATCATTTATATTCGAAAGGAAGTTGCTTCTTCTTTTTTTTTTTTTTTCCAACTTGCCTGTCTTCAAACACTAATCTTTGACTTCAAAAGACACCCTTCAAATGAAATTCGTTTCCCCCTATGTTTTGAAAATCGGGCCAGAAGGCGAACCGATAACTTAAGTGGTTCACTGATTTACCGGTTCAACTGGTTTAAATGGATTTTTAAAACGGGTAAAAATCAGCTATAAAAATTATTAAAAAAATAATTAATTATCAAAATTTAAAAATTTCAGTTTAGCCGGTACCGGTTCCCGGTCAAATTACGATTTTGTCTAAGTTTGACCGAGTTTGACCGGTTTTAAGTCTACCGATTATTAATCCAAACCGGACTGAAAAGGTCTCTGATTTTCGGTTAAACCAGTTCGACCGCCCGGTCCGATTCGATTTTCAAAACACAGGTTTCCCCCTCTTCAATAAAACTGATATATGTGGAGAAAGGAGTTTGATACTTAATCATTCGACCCTGTGAACGAAAGAGACAATATTGAGAAATTTTAGCCCATTTAAAGATTCCTTTCGAAATCGAGTGATGTTAATAAGTGTGAGTATTGAATTTGGCCACTTAGAAAATACATGTATTAAAAAACATTACTTTAAGAAAATACATATATTCTCTTCTCCTCTTTTCTTTTAATTTTTTGAATCTTTTTTTTTAAAAAAAATTATTTTGGGTTCAAACCACTTTTAGAGAACTTAAAATTGTCTCCCAAAAGAATATCAATCTACATGAGATAAATGAATAAATAATAAAAAAAAAGTTGCCAAGATGGTACAAACTATATATAGCAACCTAAACCTCATATCACTCCGCAATTTACAAACAACACCTAGCCAATAATTCCCTTTGAACCCAAACACACCCAACACATATTTTTATTTACTCAGAGAGAGGAAACGTACACATCCACTAACTGCCAAGAGAAAAAAAACATGGGAAACGAAAGAGATCAGTTTCACAAAAATGGCAGCTTGTACGTTGAACACAACCTAGAAGCTCCGCAGAATGGTGACCTCAAGAATTTTGACGATGATGGTCGCCCAAAAAGAACCGGTACAGTAATATTATATACTCCCTCTGTCCCAAAATTATTATCCAGTTTGAGATTTCATTTTTAGTAGAATTTGAACTAGAAATGAAAACCCAAACTGGATAGTGAGGAAGTAGTTTTTAAACATCTTCTTCTTCTTCTTCTTCTTCTTTGTAAGTGTGTGTGTGTGTGTGCGTGTTTATTTTCTAAATCTTTTTTGGGTGGTTGAATTATTGTTATTACAGGAACGGTGATAACTGCAAGTGCCCACATCATAACGGCGGTGATTGGGTCGGGAGTGCTGTCGCTAGCATGGGCTATAGCTCAGTTGGGTTGGGTCGCCGGTCCGGCGGTCCTCCTCGCATTTTCCTTCATCACCTTCTTCACTTCCACTCTTCTCGCCGACGCTTACCGGGCTCCCGGTCCGGTCACCGGCACCCGAAACTACACCTACATGGACGTTGTTAACGCCCACCTCGGTAATTTCATTTTACTTTTATTGCTTTTTTACTATGATTAAGCTGGTCATCATTTTTTCTTTTTGACAAATATTCATTTTTTATTAAATTCAGGAGGATTTAAAGTAAAGCTATGTGGACTGGCTCAGTATAGTAATCTTGTCGGAATTACAATTGGATACACTATTACAGCTTCCATTAGTATGGTGTAAGTACTAATTAATTAATTTTGATTTTAATTAATTTATAACAATTATTGATGAGTGATCATAACTCATGAAGCTCAATAAATTTGATGATGACCCCAGTTTAATTAATTCGTGTGTGTGTTGATTGAAATTTGTTTTTTCAGGGCGGTCAAGAGGTCAAACTGTTTCCACAAGCACGGTCACCACGTCAAGTGTAACATATCAAATTACCCATTCATGATCATATTTGCAGTCATACAAATTCTTCTCAGTCAAATCCCAAACTTCCACGAGCTCTCTTGGCTTTCAATTATGGCTGCTGTCATGTCTTTCGCTTATTCTGCTATTGGTCTCGGACTCTCGCTAGCCAAAGTCATTGGTAAGTTACAACCATTTTCGCTATTTCAAAATTACAGTTTTATTTATCGCGTTACACTATTTGAATTTTGACGAGTATCGTTAATAGTAATAGTGTTTTTTGTTTCTTTATGTGTGGTGAGAAGGCGGTGCACATGCGAGGACGACGTTAACAGGAGTGACAGTAGGGGTGGACGTGTCGGGGTCGGAGAAGGTTTGGAGAACTTTCCAAGCCATCGGAGATATAGCTTTTGCTTATGCCTATTCAACTGTCCTTGTTGAAATCCAGGTATTTAATTTCACTTCAACTTTCTCTTTCCTTAACCAAAAAGGTTTGCATGATCAACCATGCAATTGGCTCAAAATATCTACAACTTCATTAATTATTTCGTTCTCATCCTCTCCCCGGCCGCAAGAGGCATATGACCCAAAAAAAACAAAAAAAAAATAGAAGTGTTTAATGGTGAGGAAGAAAAACATATCTTATGTGTTATTTACTCGACCCATACAATACAACTAAGTTATATACAAACTTGAATTGTGTGCCCATCTCTTAATATGAAGCATGTCTGCATGTTCCATATTTATAACGCGTAAAAAAAACGTTATATTATCTTCCGTTACAAAATAAGAGTTTTAAAGTGTATATATAAACGTGATCTGACACTATAGTCAACAACATATAAGGTGGTAGTTCAATCCCTAGATTTTTTCAGTTCAACTTGTGGTCTCTGATTTAAAGTCTTCAACGTTGAAATACACCATTTTTTTTAATTTTGGTTTTCTTTCATGATGTAGATAGGTGTACTATTGTCAGTTACGGATTAATTTTATTTTATTTTTCAAAAAAAAAAGTAATAAGATGGTCAGTCGATGAGTAGGAATAAATGTCAATTATTATGGATATAATAATATGCTTGCGTGTATTCTTTTAACACTATCTAGTGTTGGTAGTTTGGTACTACCAAGCTTAGAGACAGATCTAGAGGCCACAATGTACCCCCCAATATCTACCTCCATGATTAGTTCAAAAGTCCATCTTTTCACAAGCAAAATTTGGCACATTTTCATGCTTCAAACTACACGTAATTTATTCGGTGTGTGTTAACGTGGGTGGTTTGTGTTTTTGTTCTTCATTCATTTTTCTACCATCTTTGCTTGTTTGCATCCTATGATTAAAGTTCCCCGTGTCCCACATATATATAAGGTTAATTAGGGAAATAAGATATAGAGAAAACAAACAAAGGAATCCTAAATTTAAGTTGTCTTTTTTCTTCAAGGTACGTTGAATAATTATATTTTTTCTATCTTGTTTATGAACGATTATTTGGGGACGAAAGACTACGGTATAAAAAATACATATTCAAATATATTAGTATTTGAGATGATGCAACTTGTTCAATTATCACCTCTCTGCATGTGCCTTTGCCTAGCTAGAGCTTCTTGTTGATAAGGACTTGAGAACAAATTAAATTAGATGGCTATTTGTGTTGAATTCAACGTGACTTCTATAAATGAACACATGTAAGATAAAAGGAAAAATGCCGAATAAAAAAAGATATGCTATTATTAGCTTCTGAGCTAAAAGGATTTCTGAAAAGGATATATATTACAAAGGCGTGCCTTTTATCTTTCTCTTTTTTTCTTTTTTTTTTTTCTAAAAAGAGAATTTGGCCATTTAGGCACTTTGGTTTGGAAAAAATTGGAAATATTCTTCACGCCTTCGCGGACCACATCTGCATACAATTTTGGTCCAAATCATGGCATTTGTCCATCCAAAGAGAATCTTGATTGGCCGTTTTTTTTTTTTTTCTGGCTTTTCGATATCTTCCTGGTCTTTGTTGGATGGTCCTGTACAATCTAATCCCTTCAGTGGCTTGAATTCATATCCAAATCCAAAAAGCGAAATCATATTTGGTGGCCAGAGACACCTATTCAAACATTCTTTTTTCCAAATTAAGATATATGTTTAGCAAGTTTATCGTGTTACAAGTTACACTTAGCAATAACTAAAGTCCAATATATAGATCATACTTATCATCGTACTATTTATGTTACTTAGTACTTTAACGATCTATGTTACTTAGTACTTTAATATTTGCACGATTTTTAACGTGATCATTGCCGGTGTTACACTGGCAAAAGTATATAAAAGTGTTAGATTTAAGTTACGGATTATGTAATAGACCTAATGGACTTGTGCATGTTTAATTCAGGATACACTAAGATCGCACCCTCCAGAAAACAAGGCCATGAAAAGGGCTTCTGGTGTAGGAGTTTCAACCACCACCTTATTCTATTTCCTTTGTGGCTGTCTTGGATATGCAGCATTTGGAAACAATGCCCCTGGAAATTTTCTCACCGGATTCGGGTTCTATGAGCCCTTTTGGCTAATTGATGTTGCCAATGTCTGCATTGCCATCCATCTTATTGGTGCATATCAGGTAAACAAAATGAGAAGAAAAGGGGAACCCACAAAAAATATTTCAATGTCTTCATCTAACCTAATCAACTAAGTATATCTGAATCCCACGCAGGTATTTGCGCAGCCACTTTTCGGCTTTGTTGAGAAACGCTGCGGCGAAAAATGGCCAGAAAGCAACTTCATAAATAAAGAGCATGCATTTAAAGTGCCATTTTTGGGTACTTCCTCCATTAACATGTTCAGGTTGGTGTGGAGGACAATATATGTGATAATAACAGCAGTCTTAGCCATGATCTTCCCCTTCTTCAACGATTTCTTGGGCTTAATTGGAGCAGGATCCTTCTACCCTTTGACTGTGTATTTCCCAATAGAAATCCACATTGCCCAAGCCAAGATACCCAAGTATTCTTTCACTTGGATATGGCTTAAAATACTCAGCTGGGCTTGCCTGGTTGTATCGCTTGTTGCGGCCGCCGGATCCATTCAAGGCCTGTCTCAAGATGTCAAGACATACAAGCCTTTCAAAGTTCAAAATGAATAAGTTTTTATGTACGCCTAAATTTGATTGAAATGGTGCATCAGTCATCAGAGGTTCAAATTTCAGAAAAGAAAGTAGTTTTCTTGATACCAAGAGATTTAAGAATAGGGTTTTTGATCAATAAAGAGTTCTAATATGCCATCATCATGTAAGCAAAACTGAAAATCTTGATCTAGAAAGTCAAGATAATGTAGTTAGTTCCAAAATCATTCTCCATGATTTCAATTTCATCATGGATGTTAATATCAACAGTTTGAATCAGAAGCCTGCTACTCTCTACAACAGGTTCTTCACTTTCTTCTACAAATCAACTAAAACTGGAATCCTGCAAACATGTGGACGCTCTCCACAAAGTTTCTGTCAGTGAACAAAACTACATGCATGAACGTTAGTTTGCTTCGGTTTCGCTGATCACAAATGCTTGAATAAGACTTTGAGCTGCATTGGTCTGCTCAGGGGTTCCAGAGATTATGATTACAGTTTCTTGAACTCCAGGTTTCGTATCAGTGATGGTAATTTTGGCATCGGAAATCTGGAAATAAATCATCTCAATGTTAGAAACTACCAGGTGAATCAAATCACAGGAAAACCAATAACCAGCAAATTACAAATTTTAAAAGCAACGCCACATGAGTTGGCAGAAAACATTAAATTTTTACTGCATATTACTGCATATAGATATTAGAATAACGTTTCCAAAAAAAAAAAAAGAAGAAGAAAAGATCAGAAGAACACAAGGAATATGGATAGCAACTTCAGCTAGTGGGAGACTCCCGAAGTGGACGCACCGCATAAAACCGATTGGGGAGGAACAGAAATGATGACATGCCGTTTACAGTTAAAATCATTTTCAGCTCGGAACTCCCCCCCTTCCCTCCCTCAGAATTATTATTTGGCACTCTTTTGAAGCATTAACAGGCATCATAAACAAGAATAATTCAGGAGATATATCATGTCTCCATTACATTTCAAGTATGTAACATCATAAAACTTGGGTGCACTGTCATCCCCATGTAGAGAGCTAAAGTTACCAAAAGAAGGCCATCATTATGCAGAAAGTTCGTTTCATCAAGGACCAGTGAATATTTTAAACTCTCATACCTCACGGATTTGTCTTAAGCATCCGCCACCCTCACCATATATAGCAGGAACAACAGAACGTGGAACCACAACTTCCACAGTGGTGTTTGTAATAATAGCTCCATGATTTACTCTGCAACGATGAATAACACGACTTCTGTTATAATTATGACAAAGATGGAGAAGTTGAAGCAACCAAACAGCAAAATTAAATTTGAAGAACCGAAGACAATACTGACCCTCCAAATCCACCGATTCCTCTAGGAGGACCCCCAGGAAAATCAGGTGGACCCATTGGGCCACCAACTTCAAGAGGCCCCTGCATCAAATCAAAGATCTTAAGTAAATGTGTTTTGACTAGTATGATGTTAATTAAAAATTGTTTGACAGCATGAAATGGCAACAACTACAGCCCCAGTCCAAATTTAAGAGTGAAAACAAAGGATCAGACAGACAACACCATCAGTCTGCAACATCCAAACTCCTTTGAATAATATTAAAAAAATAAGTAAAACTACTTACCTGCGGACCCCATGGAGCCGAAGATGGAAATCTTTCAGGCATATGAGGTGGGAACCCAGGTCTGTGGAAATTTTGCATGAACGGCGGGCGCTCATCAAGTGGATGGAAACCACCTGGGGGCGGGCCTCCAACAGAATCAAACTTATGAAATGGTGGGCCCAGATCACGATACATTCCTGAAGGTGAATGCTCTCTCCTTCCCATGAAAGGTGGATATGGTGGTACTTGGTCAGGAAAGGCAGGATTTGAAGGGTAGTTCATGGAAGGAAATGCATCTCGGAAGAAATGTTCTCGTAACCTTGACGTTATCTGCAGAAGAGCCTCTTGAATTGTTTCAGATTCTCCATTTATCTGCCAGGTAAGAAGCGCACAAAACGGTCAAAGACAAAGGTCAAGTATAACTTAAAGGAGAAGAGCGGGACTGCAAATGACTTAAGGAACTTAGTAGATACTTTAAGAACAGAAGTTTATCAAGTTCAAAGAATCTGACCAAAGAAAAAAAAAACCACACCTGAACCAGTTCATCATTTTCCAAAGCACCTTGGGGGTTTTGATCCTTTCCCAATATACGAATATAAGCTCCAGTTGCCTTCCTCATTTCAGTGATGATAGAACCACCCTTGCCTAGAAGACAGCCAATTTGATTTGTGGGGACAAGAAGTTTAGCAGTTAAATTTTTATCTTGACTTTCAGGTGATGCCCTAAATATTCTGGACTGTACCCGCAGGACAGCATCCTGAGGTGCAGAAATCCTTTCATCTGGGTGCTGAAAATAATTGCAATTTGCCAATAATTAGTGTCCCACATAGATAAGTCAAACTTAAATTGAAACATATGAAGTGTGGTTCTCGAGACACCAGAAAGATTAAGTGATGAATAATACCGCAGGACCAGATATAAGAATTATGCGATCCTCTGAGTCAGCAGCATAATCAAGAACTTTGATTTCGCAGCCAGTTTCATTTTGGATTGCCCTAACAACGAATCCCCCTTTTCCAATGACACCTCCTATCTTGTCATGCGAGCACCATAACCGGTAGGTTAACACATCCTGGGGAGGATAGACGAAATCAGGAAAACCAGCTTCACCGTCACGAAATCCAGCTGAATAAGGCGGCCTTAGTCCATGGAAAGTATGGTTTGGCTGGGCAATACCATCTGGTCTTGCAGAACGGCCAAATGAATTAGGTGATGGTCCACTTGGATCGCCAGGGAAAGAGCGTGGATTCTCAAGTAATTGCTGACACACAGAACTAAGTGCTTTTCTAACAGCATCAGGCACTCCAGAAATCTGTCATGAAATTAGAGTATTAAGAAGAATCAAATGCTAAGAAACATGAGCAAAACATTTCTTAAAAATTCTTTAAGATCTCTGAAAAAAATATTGTGAAACATTAAGGCTGGCAATACAAGCAGAGAGATGTTTCCTGAATGACGTAAGTCACATTACAAAGTGAAAAGAAACTACTAAAACTGTTATTCCTGGTGTTGGGCCATGTGACTCTTAGTTTCAGCCTTCAGGAGAGTGGCACAAGGGGGGACAAGTTGGGAGAGGCAGTCCAGAATCATCGAATAGACATATCAAACCAAGGAGCTCCAAGAATATTCATAAAATGGTTAATATAATCCCTAACAATTTTCTTTTTATAGATGTTCCCTCTGGCTAATACTGCATAACCATTCCCTTTGATTCCCAAAACATTCAAAGACAAGGTAAAAATTTCTACTCGAGCAGCAAAGAAATCTTGTTTCCACCTGTTCCAACATAATTCAAGAGTATTACCTACCTCCCGGTCCACATAGACCCAAAAACAGAAACTGTTATGTTTAATATTCACAAATTCCGTATATGATACAATCCTAAGCACTAAACAATTTAAAATTTTCAGTTCTTTTCTTCCTACAGTTCGTGTAAGGCAGAAAAAGGGTAGTAAAAGAGGAATGTAATAATGAGACAAATTTCGAACATCTAGGAATTTATTTGTGGAAAAAGAAATTTGAATGTACTTTAGAAAAACTACCTGAACAAACTCATCGGAAGAAGATACAGAAGGAGGCAGTTTATCCCTGGGAAGAACTCGTATCTGGGCTCCACTTTCCGAAGCCATTCGCTTAATTATGCTACCTTGTTTCCCCAACAAGGAACCTATTTGACCAGAAAACACGAGTAACCTCACAGCAAAAGTTGAAACTTTATCACCCTCTAATTCACCTCCTCCTCCATCTTTTTCCTGGTTACCATCAAACATTCTTTCAAATACAAGAATTAAAGCTTTCTGCATTGCTGATATTGCATCCTTCCCTACTACTGCTGAAACTATATCAACTGGACCAGCTTCCGGTTTGTCTTCATTATGATCATTCTGATCCCCGTCATTCTTTCTGGTCCCGGTCTCCTTATTTTCATCATTCCCTTCCTTGTTAGACTGTTCATCAACCCTCCCGTCATCTTTATCTGGGCGAATTAGAGTAATCACTCTGTCATCACTCCCAGGAACAGGTTCTTCCACCTGAATTCTAACACCCGTTTCTTGACTTATTTGTGATATAATGCTGCAATCTTTTCCAATAACACTATCTACCTTCGTTCCCGGGCAAAATACCCGCAATATATTTCCATTAACCTGGGAATTTGGTGAGCTAGAATTCCCATTTTTATGCAATTTTCCTGTACCGATTGCCTCAGTTTCATTCTGCCTCTTCGATGGCGTTAATTGCACAGACATATCCACCAAACACAACCCAGAACTGGGAAATAAAAATTCCGAAACTAAATCATACACATTGAAAGGACATTCATATAGCAAACTAGTTAAAACTACAGAAATTTGCAAAGGACCATACTTACAGATGAATTGGGCAGACAGCTCAGCTGTATTTCGGATGAACGCACTGAATTTTGTTGGAGATTTTCCAACCGGGAGAGCGAATTAGAGGAGATTTCAGGTATTTGAAACCCTGGGGATTTAGGAATTAGGGGTTTAGTAATTATACAGATTTATTTTTGCTCGCGAATAGACCGGCCGCAGAAACAATAAGAATGATGTAATATAAACCACATCACTGTACAATGCTGACGTAAGCGCCGGTTCAGTGATTTACAATTGAAAAGTAATTGAGAGGACATTAAATGAATTTTTTTATTCTTCAAAAAAAAAAAAAAAACTTCGCCATTTTTAAAATATAAAGTAAACAAAAATTTGCTTTTACGGTAAACTAGATGCTTGGCTCAGGCAGATGCCCGGGCGCCACCTCTACTTTAATTTTGTGTTAATAGATAAATGAATTTTTTATTTAGAAAAAATAAAATAGCTACACATTTATTTTTTCCCTTTTTTAGCCAAAAATAAAAATAAAAATAAAAAATCATCTGCAAAAGAAGAAAAAAATTAAAAAGTACATCGATGCAGAAATCATACAAAAGAATGTGAATTAATAAAAGGGATAAGTTTATAGACAAATTTAAATCCTATCTTAATTTGATTGATAAATGATAAGTGTTATGAGTTAAAATTGTGTAGATATTTTTGTAAATTAGCTTTTGTTTTTCCAGATAAGAAGTTTTCTTTTTTTAAAAAAGAAGGGATGACACGTGGCAGAATGGTTAAAGCAATATGGTGCATTTGGAGCCAAATTTTTTTAATAAGAAGTTGCCACATCAACATCCTATATTCTGCTTTAATAGGGTATAAAAGGGATACTATCAAAAAAGAAAATAAAACTTAAACAGCTGAAATCAGTAAAAATATAATTGTTGCAATCCTTGTAAACTATTCACTTATCTTTGAGAAATTTTCCCATTTAAATTGTTGGGTGTCTTGTTTGATTAAGAAGATTTACACGACTTAACAATAATTAGTTGTTAATTGAACTTTACTTGCCGAAAGTTAGTACTATAAACGTACGTTTACATAATTATTTTTATTTTATTTTAAGAAGTTATGCAAGAGTAATGATGAAATCAAATATAAGAAAAAGGAAATAACAAACTGCAGGAGTATTCAATAATTACTCGGTTTGCAAAATTTTATTTTGCAACTTAGCAAGTTTGGGGAAATTATGAATACATTTTATTGTTAAATTGTCGTTAGATGATTTTCCAAGTTCCGTAAAAGTGTAGGTTTTATAGCCTCTCTTCCGACGAAAAGAAAAAGAAAATTAAAAATTGCTCTTTCCACCTCTAAAAAATAATGTATGATCATGATGTATGAAACTAAGGGAATTTTTTTTTTTTTTTCATATTTGTAAGGTGTCTACCGTCGGTAACCGTGACTAATCCCTTTCGCTGAATTATAGACAACTCGATGAGTGGGATAGCTGGCCAAAATAGTTAAGGTTATTTCATGCCCATGGCAAAGTTCGAACCCTTGACCTATGGTTAAGGGTGGAGAAGCCCCTTCCACTCTATCGTAACCACTTTGGTCTGAGACCAAGGGAATTTGCAATGAGTTGTTCAATGAATTAACCCGAAGAGCTTAAACCATAATCATCCTAGATTTCAGTGTAAGATGTCACACATTGGCCCAGCAACAACTCCTGTGAGATTACATGAATCAAATTTTCAGATTCATATGCAGTCTGCGGCCTGTGGACTCTGGGGTCTGGATTATAAACTGTGGTAGTTCAGTGAGTAAAATGTCTAAATGATCCCTTACATTTGCCCTTACTTGAATTTACGTCTCTTACATTAACATTTCAATATCGTAGTCCCAAACATTATGTTTTCACACTTTTTTTGTCCCATTTCACTGTTTCGACCACATTTCCGTCCAACTCGAGGTTGACCGGCCGTTGACTGGCCGAGGTCAGGGGTATTTTCGTTCTTTCACGTAATTTGACCTTCCATCAAATTAAAATCATTAAAAATATTAAAAAAGTCATATTTTAAATTATTTAAATAGTATTTATTAATTTAAAATATTATTATAATATTTTTAAATTTATATTTTTTTAAAAATAATTTTTTCATTTACCATTTATCTTAGATGAAAAATAAACAGTAATTGTTCTACATTTTAACCCCGAACCCACAGTAAATTCAAATATTTACTGTCAATATTTACTGGATTACACATTTAATTCAAAATTCAAATTTTAAAAAAGAAAAAAGAAGTAAATTCATAAATTTGACTTTGACTACGGTAAACCCTAAATTATTTCTAAGCCTCAAATTTTTTCCTCTTGGCCCGAAGGAGTTATAAATTTTACCGCTACCGCTATAAGGCCGTCGTCTTCTTCTCTTCATCTCATCCCCAATTCAGCGTCGGAAAAAAAATAATCTAACCTCCAAACAAATCTAAGCGGCCAAAGAACAGCAGTTGAAAGCAATTTTTCAGGGGCTCGCTGCTCAGGAAGCGCCTTAGATCTGGGACGAGAATCGAGGTATCCATGTCGACATCAAGTAGCAGTTTCAACGGGAATGATGGCAACACCGGCTATTTGCGATTCGAGAGACTTGGTTGCAGAAAATATGCGATGCGTACCGGATTTGAACTGTCTAAAACCCCCAAAAATCCTAATCGGCTATACCATGATTGTCCTAATCATGAGTTCATAGATTGGGTTGTGCCGATTGGAGGTGATGTCGGAAATGGGGTGAATGATGCAAGGAGAAGAGACGGCGGATGGGTAGCGAGAAGCCACGAATACGATGGTCAGAATGGTAGGTATGAAATGAGAAATAGCAATTGTAACTGTGCAAGCCACGAATTCGATGGTCAGAATGGTAGGTATGAAATGAGAAATAGCAACTGTAACTGTGCAAATAACACTATTGTCTGGCTTAACATAGCATGTGTTTTGTGTATGTTTATTGTTATAGTGGTGTTATTGATTCGGGGTTAGCGAGTGTTGAACTGTTGAAAAGTTGTATCACTATTTAGTCAGTGATGTGTTATGCTTTCTGGCCAACGCGATGTAGTATGTGGAATGTAGCATAAGGGTGATCTTTTATTCAGTTGTTATGGAGTTTATGTTCAGAAGGCCTGAATTTTAATGTCAGAAATGTCTTTAATTAACTACTGCTACTGCCATGTAAACTTGGATACGGCGAATTTCACAACTGCAATGTACAAGTTCAATTCTTTGTTTTGGCATCCAAAAATGTTTAGTCTCGGTGGACTAAAAAAGTGGTTGGTTAGTATTTAATGGACTAAAATAAGCGTTACTATAATTTCTAGAGGATCAGAAAAGTGACTGTAAAATTTGTAAGGGATGAAAAAAGCTATAATATGCCACCAATATGGTTCAAGGATAAGTTTCCATTTCTAAACAAAAATATCGATAATACACCATAAATCAAAAGGTCGAATCAGGGAAAATCAGTACAAGAACATTGAGATGAACATTGAGAGTCTGAATCTTCATCGGAATTGTATTCCTTCCAGCCACCATATTGTTCACAATTGCAGGCATAATCGGAGTCCCATTCAAGGTCTGGATCACTATCTAGGAAGTCATCGTTCCTAGCAAAGAACCATTCATCCTGATAGTCCAACGCATACAACGTGATTAATCTATCACGGTTCAAAGCATCTTGACACATGGGGAAAAACATTCCGTCTCCCACAATCTTTTCCACCCCTTTTTCTTCAGATAAAGAGTAAAAATTAACAATGTTGAGCATTCCAATCCTTTGTGCCATTTCATGTAAGTTCCAAAAGGATACTGTTTGAAGATCTACATTATCGAATACCCTGAAAGCACTACCCCAATAAAGTGGATATGGCTTGGCATAAAGCTCCCCACCAAAGTGGATTTTAATGCTGCCAAGACTGCTACTACTTGCTGGCCCAAAAAAAAAAGAGAGAGAAGAAGAAAACGTTTGGTAATTCAACATCGTAAATTTTATTAAATCTAAATCTTTTTGAAAAAAGAAAAAAACTTACAATATACAGGCGGGAATTCCTCGTTTAGGTGCTTTGGCCGTGGAGTGAACATCATGCAGCTTGGCCTTTTGAAAATGATGGAATAAAAATTCTTGGGATATTTTTTAGGGTTGTTGATGCTCTTTATGAAGGAAAACATTGAGGGGGATGTAATAGTAAGTTTTCCCGCTCACAAAAGGCGCCTAATTTTGTAGTCTGGGGTTTTCCCGCTCACAAAAGGCGCCCAATTTTTTCTTTATTGGCGCCAAATTCTGACTCAGGTTTACTATTGCTTAGGGACTAAATGAATGAAAAAATGGGACCAAAAAAGTAAAATTTACAGAAATAAAAAACCAATAACTTGTTACAAAAGGCCATTCCAGGCAACAATACCATAGTAATAATTTATAAGTACTCTGTTTAACAATAGTATCATAGAATAAAAGAGCATTTACATGCATTTACCAACATCGAGTGGTAAAAACCCTTAACAAAATAGGCATCTAACCCTTAACAAAATAGGCACCTAACCCTTAATAAAATAGTACTTGTGCAAAACACAGAAGCAGCCCGACTATTCCCCAGTTGTTGTACCTTTAGCAGATGCCACCCTCGCCTTGTACATTCCAGCAATAGAACTCATACAAGTAGACCGATAGTGACCATCAACACCACATAAACCACAAGTCACAGTCCTCTTTGCCTATAATCATAATAAAGACATGACAGAATTATTATGAAATTTACCGCAAAGACAACACCTACTAATTAACAACTGAAACTGAGGAAAATAGTTGTGCAATATGAACCAATACCTTCTTTGTGGGAGGGGCATCATCAGAGGCAATTGGAATATCAAGTTTTTTCTTGTGCTTCTTAGTGTGCTTAGAACCAGTAGCTAGCCTATCCTGGAAGAGTGAGTCGGTCGTACCAGAGCAACTACGACGGTTGTGTAGGGGTTTGTCGCAATTCCCACATTTATACTCCACTGTACCAGCCCTAGAGAGCTTTTGTTGACCATCTTTATTTCTCCGAATACGCTTTTCCTTCACCTCTTCTGCTGACTTCTTTCGAGCCTTTGTAGGTCTGCCGGGCAGATTAATCGGATCTGCGGGAACAAGATCTACATGTGATGTTTTCTTCCACATCTCCGGACCATTGTCTGGATAAATGACATACTTGTATGCATTTTTATAACAAGCCTTGGAGTAGCATTCATCCACGAAATCTTCAACTACCTCCTTAGTCTTGTTAATTGCAGCAATAGCATGGCTGCAATGGATACCTGTTAACTGCCATCTCCTGCAAGTACAAGTTATGTGCCTCAGTTTAACAACAAATTGTTCTTGATGCACAGTGTTAACCTGAAATGTATCATCCCCAGCTTCTATAGCATGACTTTCACCTGCCCTATCCTTCAATTTCTCTATTTTTCGCCTAACTTTGGGACCAAACCTATCAGCCATCTTTGCAAGAAACACCCTCTTCTTTTGCAGCCTTTCCATAAGATACATTTTCACACATGCCAGCAACTGGTACAATACTTTTTCCCGGGCACCTTATTCAATGTTTCTGAAATGTTATTTACCAAAATGTCACAGATAGCAGTTTCTGTGAAAAACGCTCTTGAACAGTTCTTCGCATTAGTGTTTTTTTTTCAGCCAAGCAGTTGCTGCAGGGTCAAGAGCGTGCAACTCTTCGACTATCTTCTTATATCGGGCAGGGTATGTGGCTCTTGCTACTTGCCACAACTTATCTTTCAATGTAGGGCTGGGGAAGTGTCTTTTAAAATTACAGTGCATATGCCAAACACACATCCTGTGGCTAGCCTTCCGAAACCCTCGATTTATGGCCTTAATTAGCCCCTAAAAAGGTAGCAAAAAAATGAATAGCTGAAACCCTAATTAACTAAAAAAAGGTGAGTGCAACCCTAAAAATACATATATAACTCTAACAAAAACCAATTAAGCAAAACACAAATTAAAACAATTACCTTCTGTTTATCAGAGATGAAAGTCCATTTTGATGCATCATCTTCGATACCCAAGTCATTCTTCAAGTAATGCAGAAACCATTTCCAAGATTTGTAGTCTTCAATCCTCACAACAGCATAAGCAATGGGGTATATTTGGTCATTGGGGTCCATGCCAACTGCAGTCAACAGTATTTCTTTCGTTAGTCCCTTTAAGTGACAGCCATCCAGCCCAATGAGGGGCCTACATCCTTCCTTGAATCCCCTTTTCAATGCATCTAAACAGATGTATATTCCCTCAAATATTTCTGTCCCATCTAAACAATTTTTGGAATCAATTACAACAGTTGAACCAGGGTTATTTTTCAGAATCTCATGACGGTAATCCCACAGCCTTCGATATTGCCATTCGACATCACCTTCAATGAGTTTAAGTGCTTTAGCTCTCGTGTTCACCGCCAAGCACCAGGATACCTCCGTTGGCAATTTTAAATTAATCTTCTCTCTCAGCTGTCCAACTGTAGTCTGGGGACATATACGCATTTCTTCCTTAAACATGGCTGCAAGGTAATCAGAATTGGCACATCCGTGGTTATTGTTCTTACCACCACAGTCATGTTTCATGACTAATGTCGTGACGGCCCACTCATCCTTGCCTTTTCTGTAAGTTATTATAACTTCCCATGGACATACACGAGCACCATTCCCTCTACACCATGCTTGGCATCTCCTGCCATCATTTTTCTTAAATCGAATCTGCTTTCCATGTTTTACTCCTTGATGCTTACACAATTCTTTGAACTCAGCTTTTGATGCAAATCTCAATCCAATTTCCCAGTTAGGGCTATCATAATCAGTTTGACGATTGTACCTTCTGAATGTAGGTAATTTCACATCTTCATCCGAAGCAGCTCCATTGTAAGCATCATCACTTGGGAGTTCATCAGAATCCATCTCAGCCTCATCATCACAAGTACCATCATCATCCCCAGTTGTTGTAGGCTTTGTTGTTTCTTTCCTCCCCAAGAATCTTAGACCAATCTTTCATTCTCTCCTTCATGATTCTACTTTCTTCATCCATCTCCTGTGCGTAGTCACTGTCGTAAAATTCAACATTGCCATTAGGCTCCACCTCAGAATCTTCTTTTTCTTCTTCAACACCTTTCTTCTTTCTCCTAACTTTCTCTAGCATTTGGTCAAGTGTATCATCATCTGAGTTGTTTTTTTTCTTCCTCCTAGCTTTGCTCTTTACTTTGGCTCTTTTCCTCCCAACCTTAACAGGTTTGCTATTTCTGCCATCTGTCTTCCTCTGTTTGTCATCTGAACCTTTTTCAACATCAGCTGCTTGTGCAGCATCATGTGATTGTGCAATGTCAGCTACTTGTGCAACGACACCAACTTGTGCACCTTCACCTTCAAAATGGTTTGCTGGGTTGCCATCAGTAGCTTCACCTTCACATTTAACGACACCAACGTCTTCTTTTTCTGCTCCATTAGGTATGTCTGAACACCCTGCACCAATGATACTGTCTACCCCACATCTTGGTTCGTTTTCCACCATATTAATGTATCCAGGTGAACTACCATCATCTTCATCTATCAAGCCGAAAAGTTTACGTTGTGCTGCCTTTTGTTTCCCTAAACCCATACTCCCATCATCTTCCTCTATGTCTACACCTTCATTGCCAATGATACTGCCTAAGCAAGATCTTTGTGGTCCCTTCAATATCTCAATTTCAGGAGTTAAATCATCAATATCTTCATCAATCAATTTGAAAATCTCATGTTCTGATAGAACACTCTTTCCCCCTTTACACTTAGCCTTCGACACAGCCGCACGCTTGAATCTTACTTTTCGAGTAGGACTTGCTCCCGGCACTTTGATTTCTGCTGGTTGGGGTGGTTCTTCTTGGGTTAGCTGACTGACCAATAATTGACCATCTTCCTCTATGTCTACACCTTCGTTGCCAATGATACTGTCTAAGCAAGATCTTTGTGGTCCCTTCAATATTTCAATTTCAGGAGTTAAATCATCAATATCTTCATCAATCAATTTGAACATCTCATGTTGAGTTTTCCCACTCTTTCCTCATTTCCACTTAACCTTCGATATAGCCGCAGCTTGAATCTTACTTTTCGAGTAGGACTTGCTCCCGGCACTTTGATTTCTGCTGGTTGGGGTGGTTCTTCTTGGGTTAGCTGACTGACCAATAATTGACCATCTTCCTCTTCATCTGCAGCTTCATTCCTATCCTTGTGCACTACAAATAAATCCACCAGCCCTTCCTTTAATCCATGCGAAGCCATGGTGATTGAAGAATTATTATCTTCTAGTAGCATGAGACCTTCGTCCATATCTTCCCCTGGTTTTAGGTAGTAGTAAGATCACTCAGCAGCAACTTGGCCAAGCTTAGTAACTACTTCATCATCCACTTCAATTCTAGACCACTTATCTGCATCATAATCGTCCATAGCATGAACATAACCAGATTTGTATTGCCTGCCTGGTGATTTTGTGAGAAACCCATTATAGTGGATTCTAACTCTGAAAAGACCCTCTGAAAACAACAAAGAAGTATGTCAATCACCAAATATAAAAGAACAAAGAGGCATGTCAATCACCAAAATACCCTCTGAAAACCCAGCTACTATTTTGGTCCCAATCGAGGTATTCTCGGATACTTTTTTGGTCCTACACAAATATGACAACTACTTTTTTGGTCCAATATTTACAAAAATCATTGACTTGAAATGGAACCAAACATAAAATAGAAGTCCTCTGTTAGGTCAACATCCCTGATCCCACTGCATATTTGCCTTTACATACATACAACAAAATGGCTATTATACGGATTTAACAGGCATGCCGTGTCCCTCAACACCAAACCCTAGGATTTCAACATACATACATGTCCTACACTGCTAAAGAAATCCAACCTTTGCTCGGTTTACACGAGACTGCCAGACCACTTTACCCACAAAACATGCCGACAATAATTGACCCAAAAAAATCACAACACGCCGACAATGAAAGAATTTTTTTAAAAAACACCATCATCCAAATCTATGCTACAATGTCGGAATACCACAGAAAGATTCGTGTTTGACCATAGAAGACTGACCTTTATCCTTTTGGGGTTTGATTCGATCAATATTTTTCTTGGTACGCCACATCTTGCGCCCAGATTCTGAACTCCAACAAATCCGCACGAGATCCACTAAATTTTTTTTATTCAAAAGTGTTATGGATCGGATTAGTGTTCTTGGATCGGAGGAAACATTTCTGCTCGTTGATTTGTGGGTGAATTTGGGGGTTTTCAGTCGAAAGGTTTTCGTTTTTCCCCGTCGATTGAATTTTTTGAGGGGTTAATTTGTGGGTGATTTTTGACAGCTGGCCCGGATAAATAATTTGAGGGGTTAAAAACCCGAATTTAATTTTTTTTTTATTTTTTTAATTTGAAATTTACTGTGGGTCCGGGGTTAAAATGTAGAATAATTACTGTTTACTTTTCACCTAAAATAAATGGTAAATGAAAAAACTATTTTTAAAAAATATAAATTTAAAAATATTATAATAATATTTTAAATTAATAAATACTATTTAAATAATTTAAAATATGACTTTTTAAATATTTTTAATGATTTTAATTTGATGCAAGAGCAAATTACGTGAAAGGATGAAAATACCCCTGACCCCGGCCAGTCAACGGCCGGTCAACATTGAGTTGGACGGAAATGTGGTCGAAACAGTGAAATGAGACTAAAAAAGTGTGAAAACATAATGTTCGGAACTACGATATTGAAATGTTAATGTAAGGGACGTAAATTCAAGTAAGGGCAAATGTAAGAGACCATTTTAACATTTTACTCTAGTTCAGTTTGTGACCAATGCCAAGTGTTTAGTGGTTACGCTACTAGAAAATCTTATGAATATGAGCATGTAGCGGTGATCGATTATTATAATTGTTAAGGTGGTGATCATAAAAACAAAAGGTAAAATTGAAATGATGAGCTTTAAATATTATATATGTCTCATATTGAATTTTTCGTTGTAGCACTGATTAATTCTTGATGATTAAAGATCCGTTAATTCATATTGAATTTTTAAGTACTAAAAATTAGTATAAATCTCAAAACTTGGATTATTTTTTGAGGACAGAGAAAAGATTAAATATTTATCTATGAATGTTATAAAATAAAAGGTAAAATCTTACTTATTTTTTATTTTATAACACCATTTTAATGACTTAATAATCGATCACTAAAACGTTCTTACAAATTAAAACAAAATGTATCCATGGATGTTACAAACAGAGGAAAAAGATTTGTTTAAAATGTGAACCCTCATGTTTTAAAATTTAAACCAAGAACTTCTTTTTTTTTTTTGGAAAAAAAACCAAGAACTTCTTTTATTTGTTTATTTAAAACCAAGAACTTAAATGTTTAGTTTAATTTTTTTTAAAACAAAAACAGAGGTTAATGTCTAGTTATTACATGATTATCTCATCATCATGACTACATCAAATTCTCACTATGATTTGCTATATGAGACGGCTCCGTCAATTCTTTATAGTCTCAATATGCAACCTTCATCGATCTCTAAACAGTCTGTCACAAAATGTATTTCTATAGCTATTTCCATATTAAAATTAACTGCACCTTCCATTGTCTCACTCGATCCTAATTTTCCTGGTTTAAATTGGTTTCTTCTTCCTTCAGGAGCTAAGAAGACTTCACATATCAAAAGCACGACCGATTATTCTCAAAAGTTAAAAATAATAAATCGCTCCCTTTGAAAAGAAAAAATATTTATTTTTATTACTTTTTTCGTCGTTATTATTTTGAGATGGTGTAAGTCGATAGTAGAATATCGCTCTTGTCTATGAATAATTCTTTGAAACCATAAAATGCCTTGATTGAATAAAGTATTTTATTTGTTGAAAAAATAATCCATCGTTTAAGTTTTTTTTAATAAAATTGAATTTTTTTTTTTGAAGAGAAGTAATACTGTACTATGATTTCATCTTAAAAAGTTTAAATAGTTTAACAAATCTTTATAAATAACCCTAGCTAGGATTGCGATAGATAGCTCTCTACTAGAAATTGTCCTGACTTAAACATAGCTTAATTACCGTGAGTAATATCTCCTTTATAATCCAAGAACAAAGTAAGGCAAATCATTAGGATAAAAGAAGTGTTGAAAGTAATTTCTATATATAGTAATATTGTGATCCCAAATGACATAAACTAGAAATTAAAAGGAAAAAAAAATAAGCAGACACATTATTGAAAGCAATTAAATAGTTAGGTTATCAATATCTATTCTGCGCCTTTTGTCAAATTAGAGGAATTTGTTGTCATCTAACTTAATTTCTTCCTCAGGAAGTTTAGACTTTAAATCTTTTATTTAAATCCTTTGTCCTAAGAAATCAACAAGAAGTCCATATACATCTACGTGGCTATGTATATATAACATCTATATATCTATGTTCATAAGTAAGTATCTGATCGTGAAGAGTAATGCACAAGAAAAAGAAAAATTGCGACTATTACATGCATTCATATTAATACAAAATTTAATAAAGGTCGCAATCCTAATAACAATAATAACGCCGAACAAGTTAAGCTGAATATTTTTGCCCGGCCAACCCTCTTTTACTCTTATAAAGGTCAAACTAATTTGTGATTTTTCTATGTCGACCTCACCGGAATGAATTGGCAATTGAAAAAACAGAAATCTATAGCGAAAAAATTATATATCACTTGAGAAATATTTTTTTTCTCCAGTTCTTTTATAATAAATAGTACATTATTTTTTTCCCATTTGTTCGTACTAGTTATATTAGGTGATTATCGATTACTATTAGAGACTTCGATCAAAAGCCGAATTTAGTTAATAATTTATGAGGATATAATTACATATTGTCAGGTCTTACGAATTTCGGAATAAGTTTTGGAAAATTGTTTTTAGTTTTTTCATTTGTGGAATTTGAATAACGCCACAAATGTAAACACTTGATTTGAAATGTTGCTATTGCGGTTACTTTCTCATCAATATTCATTTTTCTTTTTTCAGTTTTTTTTTTTATCGAAACTTTATCTCCAAGTTAGCTTAACCTTCAAGCTACACAATAACGTGCCGATAAATTGCAACGCATTCATAAATTTTATTACCTTATATAAATATATTAATATCCGAAAAAAAAAAACAAAATTCTTCTGACGCAAAAGATGGCTTTCTTACTTAGTAATTTTACAGAGTTTATAGCACTAAGCAGTTTAGGAATTCTAGGATAAGAAATCATTGATTCCATAGTCAATATGACGGGATAACCTTCATTAGCAAATTGAACAAGAAAGAATCCAATAATGTTTTTAAGTTCACAAAAACGAATCGTATAAAAAGGTAGAGAAATCAAATGGTTCTTCTCTCCGGCCCTTTTTATCTTTCCACCCTGATTCTCCAAACAAGACACTGTCAAATCATTCAAGCTTTTTCATATGCTTTTCTTGTGTTATAGAATGATTGATATATAAACTAAGCGGATAATTATTTGGTGGTATAAAACTTGAAACAGAATCTTATAAATTTCTTCCTAATTAAGTTGGTTTAACTTCCTTTAAAATTATTAAATTTTTCTTTCAAATTGAATGAAACAACAAGTAGAGGGTTTAAGCCAAATCCCAATCAGAACAATTAATAATGAGAAATAGAGCAATTACAACATGGGTGGAGTCACTTTTAGTACAAATTGTATTCTTGAAATTGAAACTCAACAATATTTTCGAACAATGAAAATATATAACAACAACAACAAAAAAACCTTTTTTCCATTAGGTGGGTCAATTATATGGATTATATATCACCATCGTGTTCGATCATTACATAAATCATCCTTCAAATTTAAATATTTCAAATTATTTTTTATAGTTTCTTTCCACGTTTTCTTGGATCTACCTCTATCGCTCTTAATTTGAGTTCTTGATTCTATAATTTCTATCCTCCTAACCGGAGCCTCCACCGGTCTCCTACGCACGTGCCTAAACCACCTTAAACGCGTTTCTCTCATTTTCTAATCTATCGGAGCTACCACTACCTTATTTTTAATGCATTCGTTTATAATCCTATCTAACCTAGTGTGCCCACACATCCATCTTAACATTCTCATTTCTGCTACCCGCATTTTTTGTTCATTTTCATATTTAGTAGCCAAACACTCGGATCAGTAAAGTATCGTTGGTCGAATGGCCATTCGATAGAACTTGCCTTTCAAACTCAATGGCACTTTACGATCACAAAGTTTTGAAAATGCACTTCTCCATTTGTTCCACCCGGTTTGAATTCGGTGCGTTATATCTGTATCTATGCCTCCATTTTCCTCTATAATGGATCCTAGGTATGCAAAACTTTTAGATATGTTCACTACATGTTTACCAATTTTAACATTTACCGTGTTATTACTTCTACAATTACTAAAATGGCATTCCATATATTCCATTTTACCCCTATTTATTGTAAAACCTTTAGATTCTAGCGCCTCCCTCTAAATCTCTAACTTGGCATTTACCCCCTCCCTTGTTTCAGCTATTAAAACTATGTCATCCGCAAACAACATTTAATCGGGGATGGCTATTTGCAAATACTTAGTAATTTCATCAATTACTAAAGCAAAAAGGTATGTGCCGACCTTTGATGCAAACCAATCGTGATTGGAAATTCACTAGCAAAAAAGTATGTGTCGACCCTAGATGCAAACCAAGCGCGATTGGGAATTCACCCGAAATCCCTACCGAAGTCCTCACGCATATTATTACATTATAATACATGTCTTTTATAGTTTCTAATATATCCCACTCTCACTTGCCTTTTTTCTAACACTCTTCACATTATATCTCTATTTACTCTATCATATGCTTTTTCAAGATCAATAAAGACCATATGCAAATCTTGTTTTCTCTCATTAAAGTGTTCACATAATTTTCTTATTAAGTGTATGGCTTTCATTGTTGATCTTCCTGACATAAAGCCAAATTGATTTTCCATTATGTTAGTTTCTTGTCTTAACCTTGTTTCTATCTCTCTTTCCCACAACTTCATTATATGACACATTAGCTTTATTTCTCTATAGTTAGTACAATTTTGTATATCTCGTTTATTTTTAAATAAAGCTATTAATGTACTTTTCTTGCATTCGTTAGGCATCTTCTTAAAATTGATAAAGCGAAACACTAATAATAATTATATCGAGTACTTTAGTAGTTCTTAAAATTTAATCTGAACATAGATCCTCATACAAGCAACTCGAGTTATTCAATTATTTGCAAAAAATTTTTTATCAAGTTTGATAATAAATTACTCAGTTCCGTTACAAAAATAAAATTTATAGTTCAAGAGAAAAAAAGAAAAATTGAAATCGATTTGGTTCAACAAGTAGAGGGACAAGCCAAACCCCAATCAGAACAATTAATAATAACAGGAAAGAGCAATCATCGACGGTGAGTTCCAAAGTTACAAAAGAAAATAAAATATGCAAAAAGATGCCATCATAAAATAAGAAAGTATTAAAACAATAATAATAATTACAATGATTATTTTCGTTAGTCGTAAAGTTTTATCTGAACATAAACATGCTAGCGATGCATGCAACTAAAGTTATTCATTTATTTGCCAAAAAGAAAAACAAAATCTGTCAAAATTACTCAATTTCGTTCCGAAAATAAAATTTATAGTTCAAGGAAGAAAAAAAAAAAAGAAAAGCAAAATTGAAATCGATTTGGTTCAATAAGCCCTAACTTCTAGGACCTCCATTCAGTTCATTTCGAACGTCAGCATAAACTTCTAATGCACTAGTAAGCCCTAACTTCCAAGTTTCAAATCCCAAGTTCAAATCTTTAGCACTAAACTCAACAAGAACAAACTCCTACCAAGTTGTCCCTTGTCAAAAAAAGATTTTGTCAACTTACGAAGTATGACGAAAAAGTCAAATAATACGCTTTTAAAATGAAAAAAAAAAATAAAATGGGTAAAACCCTTTTTCCCTGAATTTCTTTGGGCCGAAGTAATCCAATATCAAAAATAAAATAAATCCGAAAAATCCACCACACGAGCCCACATCCCCGCCGCCGTCTATCATAATAACCTCGAAACTGTCTTTCTTAATACTCAAGTCAAACCTCCAAACCTTAATCCTACTCACGGAATTTCACGAAAACCCAAAACCACCCTCGGTGTCCGGAGCCCACGTCACTGACTCAACCGACCTAATCGCGGGGACAGAACCGTAATTTCTAGCACCGCTTTATCTCTCAGCCAGTTATCCGGTCTTCTATATAAAATATGGAGCGGCAAAGCTTTTGGTTTCCCAGGAGTTCCTGTTGGTGCTGAGATTCTCAAAATCGCACAGAGCTTCTCACCAAAAAAAAAAAAAGAAAAAAGAAGAAAAATTTGCAGAAAATAATTTGTAGATTTTTTATTTTTTATTTTTGGATCGGTTAATCGGAGATGAATAACGATAGCAGCATCAAAGCAGAAATGGTGCTGTCCAGAGTAGGGAATTTTAGTTCGGAGAAAATTGTAAATGTGAGTAATAACAACAGACTGAAGATTGGGGTTTGTCCGAAGCAGCAGAATCCATCCTCGTCGTCGTCATCAAATGCCGCGCCTTTTGATCGTCAAGCCCAATTCCTGGTCCAGAATCACGCGAATTTCAGGAAGAGCGCCGAACCGGGTCGGGTCATGTTCTACGATACCGACGGGTCGTGGGTCGATTACCCGGAGGAGGTGCTGAGCTCCGTGAAATGCGGGTTTCGGGAAGGGAAAGCGATGGTCGAGGTAAGCTTGGAAGGTCGCCTTTGTCTTTTTGATTTTTATAGGATGTTAGAAATTGAGTTTGATTCTGGTCATGAGAGGTCAATTGCTTGGATTGATGTGAATGGTCAGTGTTTTTTCCCCAAAGCCTTTGTTAATTCTAGTGTGGATGGTTGTGATTGTGATGAAAACGCTGGATTTGAGGGGTTTGTTGGTGATAACCCTCAGAAGATTTCAATTGAGGTCAAAATTGTAGGTGATTTTGATAATCAAGAGAATTTGTATAAAAGGAAGAGAGAGTGTGAGGATATTGAGGTTGATCAAGTTGTAAAGGGTCAACCAGAGATGAGTTCTTCTGATGTTAGGAACCATGGGGCGAAAAAGCATAAAGGTAGTGGAATGGAGGCGGCAAAGTGGCCTAAGACGAAAGTTTTGAGGGAAGGAGATAAGGAATATGGGATTGTTAAGGGATTGTTTTTATCATGGCTTGGTAGAGTGGAGCCTGGAGCTACAATCACTAGGATTCATCAGTGTACCAGGAATGGACCATTGGAGAAGGCAAGGTATGCAACTTTTACCGAGCATATCGAGTATGTGAAGAAAACTAGAGGGGATTCCAATACTGTTTTTGCATGGTATGGGACGTCCGCCAAGGGTGTAGAGTGCATTTTGGCTCGCGGGTTTGGAATGCCTGATGAGGTAAGGCGTCCCCAGCCTCATGGTGTTGGTGTATACTTGTCGCCTATTAAGTCTCCGCACACCAGGTATCTCCTTGCTGTTTACCACATTTGAGGACATTTGTTGTAGTGTTATGATATGTAACTGTTGTTTTTTTTTGTCTTGTGATTATTAATCGATGGTACGTTGGGTCTATCTACAGTACAATGTTTTCGGAAGTTGATGATAATGGCGAAAAGCATGTAATTTTATGTCGAGTCATATTGGGTAAAAGTGAAAAGGTGATGAGTCCAAACCAAATGTGGCCGTCAAGTCCAGATTTTGACTCTGGTGTGGATGATTTAGCCAATCCGAAGTGGTATGTTGTGTGGCATAACAATGTGGACACATGCATTTTGCCAGAGGTGGTGGTTAGTTTCAGAGGTGCCAATCACGTCCAAGGTAGACGTCACTCTCTTTCTTTGCATTCCTGCAATTCAGATCTCTTTTATGTTCTGGAACTAATGTCATGTTTCCTTGTAGGTCAAGCTAATGGTATATCAACTGTGAAGTCGGCTGTGAAGTCGGCCACTCCTGCATTAGGTGTCACTATTCCTGAATTGATTTCCAAGCTTGCGAAGTCTTTGCCTTCCCCTAAAGTTAAAGAATTGCTAACTTTGTCAGGTTCATGGAAGGTAATTAATATTGAACTTCACTTGCTTGGTATGCCAACAGCCATAAACAATAAACTCTGTGGCGATTTGGTTGTATGTCTTTCTTGAATGTGCCCCTTTTTGTTGATCTTATTTCTCTGAATTTTTTGTTGCAGGATGGGAAACTGGGGAAAGATATGTTTATGCAGCAGTTGAGATCAGTTGTCGGAGATGAGAAGCTGCGTGAAGTTATTCATGAGATTCGTGGCTGAGATGGCTTTCTCACCGGTTCATTTCATGGCTAGGAATTAATGAACTATCCCATACATAGACGTTTACAATTAATACAGAAGCTGTAGAATCATAGTTTCAAAGAGGGAAGCCTCAAATACAACATACAGTTTAGGCTTTTGCTTTACTGAAGTGGAACTTGTCATACCGTTTGTACAACTGACAGTGGAGTTATGTAGTGTTGTTGTTGTTGTGATGATTATAGGTGACTTAACTTTCTTAATCTCAGTAAGATATTCTTATTTAATTTTCTCTTGGAGCTTTTGGTGCTGTGTTGGTGTTCATCTGTGTTTGAATTATACCGTGTATTGGTATGTGGTGGTCGTCACTGGTTATGAATTACATCATAGTCAATCTGACATGTCATGGCTCTTCATGTTGTTGGAGTATCAAACTGTCCATGCCTCATCATTGTAGTGTGTTTTAGCTGTGGCGTATTATTTCGTGTTCCGATTAGTGTGTAAAGTTGAAGTTGATGTTGGCCAACTTATGACATTGATAACAATTTTGGAAGGTGTAGATGAGGTGAAGAGGTTTCATGTACGTTCGTTGATAACTCTTAGAGCAGAGTTCATGAGAAGCCTGCGTGCTGGAGTGCAGCCAGAAACTGGCCGACCTTTGTCCTTATTAAATGACAATTTTGTTGCATTCATGGGAGAAAGAAAAAGATATCCACGGACTACTTGTGTGTCATAATCGTTGCAGCGACCTAGAAGTCAGAATATGCTTTACTGAGAAGAGAATGAGTTGAATTAGGAAGATAAACGAAGGGAGAACCTGTCTTATGATTATCAAGGAAGCAGCAGCAAGAGGCTTGAGAAATTGTCACATTAAAACAGACGATCAACTAATGGTGAATGTTCGAGAGTTGCAATGATTACAGTCCAACTAAAGTGATTGTCTTAGTTTGAGGAAATTAGATTGTTTCAAGATTAGCCTTTCAGGTTGTAAAATTAGGAAAAGAGTGTCGCTCCTTTGTCAATTGTGTGGAGAATTGCTATCAGAAATCAGAAAAGAGAACTCTGCCACAAAATGAAGAGCATCACTTGCAGACTATCTGACTATGGACAAAGCACAATCACAGGCACAATCCCAACATGACTACATAGTTAGAGTTGATGGAGCTTTTCAAGATTCACATAAAAAAGGAGGTGCAGCTTGAGAAATCATAACAAATGCAGGAACATATGTAGCCCACGAATATCAAACTTTCTACTCATCTTCTCCGATCATGGCAAAGCGAAGGCGTGTCTAATCGGTTTGCAAGCAATCATCAATAAAGGCATAATTTCGTGTCAATTGCAGACTGGCAGCAAAATCATAGCTGAAGCCTTGGAAAAAAAAGGAGGAATGGTTCCCTACCATGTTGTTGTTCTTCTTAAAGACATCAAAACGCTTTCTCAAATAATCCATGTTTCTAACTTTAGAGAAGTGGGTAGATTCATCATAGAAAATGTTCACAACATGGCTAAGGCCTCTCTAGCCTCAGGTCTAAACCTTGTAAGCTCTTCTTAATCATTAATACTATATGAAGAAACTTATCCAAAAAAAAAAAAAAAAAAGTTGTAAAATTAGGAAGGTTGAGTGATGGATAGTTGAACGATCACAGGCTTGCAAAAGCCAAGTTAGGCGGTTTCTAGTTTCTACATCTGTAACCTTCTGTTTCTTCTCAGTTTGATAATTAGTTTCCGGTTAACGTTAATTTCCTTCTATAATGTTTAGCTTTCTACATTTCTCTTGACTTTAGCTTTTTAAACTAAATGAAACGGGAAAAAATCATACACCTTTAAGGTGAGCGGGGTTTTCTGGAGTTTTAAAAGGTGTTGAAACCATCACTAAGAGAAACAGTAGCCTAGTGTTTGTTTCCTGAGAACCTTAGCCATCGGAGTTAGGGGTGTCGATTCCATTCGAATTATAGAATCAATTTCGTGTCATGTATTTCATATAATTAATAAAATTTTTTATAGCGACAAGGTAATAAAAATTCAAATCGAGTCAATCGTCTCATACTGTGCCAGACCAGCTGTGTCGTCGTGTTGAAAATTAATACCTCTAACCGGAGTTAATTGAAAAGTGATTTTTTTAACAACAGTTTTACAACAAAGTGATAAATGGCATGTCATCCCATGATGGGATTTTGAGATTGGTACTCCAAGTGCCAAATTTTTTATTGAATTTTGTAACGTTTCGCCCATGACACTATGCGACAGCAAATGATGATACCCCTCTAAAATTATGGGTGAGACTAATTCAGATTCAAATCAAGTAAGTATATTTTTAAAGTAAAACTTTTTAAAATTATTACTATTGTGTTCGATAAGTATATTTTTTATTCACTAAAAAAAGTGCAACATATATTGATTGAACTCGTTACTCGTGTTGCATGTGGTTCCAAGACTTTTGTAAAAATTAAAATTCGATAGAACGCCATATATTCCTTGATTCGATGATTACTAAATTCGGATATATTCTCCCGGGGATCCAACTTCCATTATTAGATAGTGCTCCAATTAAAGAAGCTCCAAAATTCTAAAAAGAACATCATTGATCATATGGTCTCAGTTGCGTGGATAGTTCCTTTCCTAATTCCTAGAGTACCAGAAGGTCAAACAACAGAGGCTTCTCGTTGAAACTTAATTGAAACCCACTCAAATCAAAATGAAAACATATCAAAATATTAAAAATTAAGCACCACTTTTTAAACGTGTGGAACCATTTGACATTCTAACACTGTACATTGTACAGTGGAATATAGGTCAACAGCGTGAGCAATAATAATAGTACATCAACTGGTCATCATCAATTCATCATCATCATCATCATCAATAGTGATAATACAATGTCCACTCGTTTGGACGGAAGGCATCCCAAGTAACCCAACCCATTTGTATTTTTGTGTGTTTCCAGTGAGTCTCAAATGTTCCAAAAATGTGGGGGTGGCGGGGGGGCCAGAAAAAGATTAGGAAATTGGAAAGACTATAGATGATCAAGCATCAGCGCTAAAAGAAAACAAAAGTTGCATTGTTATCAAATGAAGGTGACCTGGATTAGAGTCCTTTTAAAATATCTTAATTTATTAATCCGAGTCACCGTGTGAGACGGACACTATTCGTAATCTCGCATAGTTGATATCTTCATTCTCGGTTCAAGTTAAAAGGAAAACGTTTATACATACATACTAATTAGACCATCAGTTTTAGCCTCTTGCCGACTTGGAAACTTCACTATTTGTATCGTTACAAAGATTGTATTGCACAGAGGGAACTTGTTTGACTTCGGAGGAGATATAGTTACAGTATGCCTAGTATATATGCTACCCAAATTTGTTAGAAAAATGTAGTGGATATATGTAATTTCAAGTGGGAAGGAGAACAAGTTCTTGGACTTCTTTTATAGAGCACTGTTTTTTTTGGTACATAGGCATATTTGACCCCGTGGTTTTGGACCCCGGGGGGTTCCATAAACAATGAATATTGGTGAAAAAGAAACAAAGCAGTATTGAGTGGCATAGGCCTCCGGGTTGTTTTCGTTGCCTCCCACTTAGACATGAGATAGGTCTGTCATTGACAAATTTGACATCGACGAGGAAAAATGATGGTTAAAAAACAAAAGAAAAAAAAAAAAAGGGGGAGGGAAACTCGTGTTGAATTCGAAAATCCAACATCATCATCCATATTTCATCATCGTATACTTCAATTATGTACGATCTTTTCTTCTTACTTCCAAGATCTTTTGTTCCTATTATCATTATCAATTGTTATAAGATCTTTTCTACGAGATTATTACATTCTGTTATTCATATAACACGGTTGATATGTTATAAACAATCGCAATCAATAACATTTTAATATTATAGCCAAATCGGGTGACTAGCTACTATTTGAAAGGGAAATTAAAGATGCCTTGTTTTCTTCTCATTTTTTGGGAGTTAAAAAGAGGCCCCTAAAACGAAGCATCTATAAAAGAGTTTATTATGATGAGTCTACATTAAATCCTACTTACTTTAAATAAGAATTTTAGATGTGCAAGAATGTTTTCAGCTAGCTAGCTGGAATCTCTTAAAAGGCTGATCAAATCCGATCCTTACAACTTGACCTAATTAGCATTATAGCAGAGGTCACTATATTCTTATCCTTCAAGTTCAATGTACAATGGGGGCCAATGCCTTTGGGGGGAGAAAAAACATAAACAATTACAAATGATAATTATATGGACTATGGAGTACATGAAAAGACACAATTATGTGTCTACCCGATAAACTTAGGTCCGGTAACCAATATTTGTTTAGCATGCAGCTTATATATAATTCACAGGCAAAACTTCAAGAAGATCGTTGATATATTAGGCATCTCATTTGTAAATATTTGTAAATTGAAAAAATGAAATGGTTCGTAGAAACTGGAATAAAAGATACGCATCTCATTGTTTCTTTCTTCAAAAAATGGTCTCTTTATTGAATTAAAATTAAAACAATAAATAAGGCTTTTATTTTTTGAGATGGAAAAATTATGTAATTGACAGTTAAAACTTGAAAGTGTCCATTTTCTTTCATTTGGTTTTCTTTGGGAGCGCATGTGCACTTTTCTCTCTCAAAGAAATGACCGTATGTATTTATTATATGTGTTTTTTTGGCATTGAAAATAGCTCCAAAGTAAGCTGAAAATGTGGAGTCCATGCTCTTCTTCATCACCATCAATTCCAATATTCTACTTATGAAAGCGAAAAAGTTGAAGCCAAAATTGTAGCTGGGAAAACCACAAGAAAATATCTTGAATCGACCATTTTATCATTCCAAGCCTTGCATGATGTGTGTTGTGAACGTATGGAGTGCAGGTGCCAAATGTCATTTCCTTTTCCAACCTACAAAAACACTCAAAAAAATTAGACAACTCTAGATTTTGAATCTGATATATTTTTTTTAAGATGAAAAGAGTATCTTTAATCGACCATTATTATATTTCCTAATCTTTTATGGTGTATTGTAAATGTATATATGGAGTGGAAGGCCCACATCTATCAAAGAAACTAACTTTACTGTAGATTGTTTAGTGAATTTTAACCGAGTAAATAGATCGAAATCGTTTGAATCTTGATGTAACATGGGTGACATATTTCCAAAATTCATGTTTTTATGTACCCAAAAAAAATGCATGGAGTGCAGGTGCCATTTCCTTTTCCAACGTACAAAAACACTCGAAAAATGGACAAGCTGAGCATGTTGTACCAAGGAAAAGTTTCTATCGATCTTCACTGTTCTGTGTGACTTTTGTGTTGTTGTGGTTCTCAAACGGTGACCAGACTCTGGAAACTCTTTTTTGTTTTGTGCACTCCTTGCCAAAATGCTTGGCACAGTTTTAGGTCATCGACATTGCCTATTGCCCAAACTAAAAACCGCGTGCATGTGTTTTTTATGGCGAAATAGATGTAACTTTTATTATTACAGTTTTTATATCCGCAGCTTTACACATTTTACTTTTTATTTCGTCACAAATCAAAAAGAGTTTCATTAATTTATTGAATCGCATTAGAAAAAAGAACTGTAAAACTTGTGAAGCTTTTAATGTGATGCAAAAAGGGAAAGAGAATAACCAAGAATTAAGATTGACATGTACTGACCCACAGATTTTTTTTTTTTCAATAAAGAAGGAGGTTCATGCCTCATGATTTAATAAGTACATTTCGCAGTATGAAACCCCTAGAACATTATGGTGAACCCATGTTGAAACTTCTGATGGTGGAGCTTCTAATCGTTGCAGTCCTCCTGGTCCAATTTCACTTATCAAGGGGAGATATATTGAAAATAAAAATTTTAAAAACCATACTTTCAATACTTTTATTTTTATTTTATTTTTAAAAAAAATTAAATAACCTCAGTGAGAATCGAACTTTCGATCTCCTAATAATTATCATTTTTTATTCTAATCTCCTAACCATCCCATCCAATCCTCCCATTCCAAATCATACTTTCACTAATTACCTCACGTACCTATGGAAAGAATATAAAGGTAGACATATGTACTGAATCGCAATCTTCCCAACAAAGTATATGAGTTTTTATAATGACCAACTTGGTACGTAACAAAGTAAAGATATCCACACTAGCTGAACTACTTTCTCCTATGGTTTTTTAATTCGATAATTACATCATATACAGTGCAAAAAAAAAATTAAAGAATTGATTATCATCAGCTTAGCTAACACCTAATCCATTGAAAGTTTGTCCTATAGTAACAAACTTTCAATGATTATGAGGATCTTATGCAAGATTCACAATTTAGTGTGCATAATCATCAAGCATCATACAGCATTGCAATTCTTTCGTGGAAGAAGAAGAAGCTTTTGTTAAAATGACTGTACTACCGGGGAATTGAATGATAGTGTAATGGTTATGTTGATGTCCTTCTTGGTAATAAACTAGGGTTTGATTCCCACCAAAAGTTGTAAGGAAGGTTTTACCCACATTTAAGTAAGGCTCATTGAGGTGGACTTTTTTTTAAAAAAAAAAATGATTGTACTATTGTAAGTTCTAAGGTTTAATCATTAA